GAAAGGATGCTTAACATCATCAGTCATTAGGAAAACGCAAGTCAAAGCCACTTCACACCCATTTGTATGCCTACAATCGAAGACAATAACCACTGCTAGCGAGCCTGTGAAGAATCCACATTACCGGTGGAAATGTACAATGGTACAGTCACTCTGGAAGACGGCTTGGAAGTTCCTCAATGTTAAACCAAGAGTTACAACACAACCCAGCAGTTGCACTTCTCCATATATACACAAGAGAATTGAAAATGCACCTGCACACAGAAAATCATACACAAGGCCGGGCATGGTGGCTCACGCCTGCAATCCAGCACTTTGGAAGGCCGAGGGGAATCACTTGGGATCAGGAGATCAAGACCAACCTGGCCAACATGGTGAAACCCCATCTCTACTAAAAACACAAAAATTAGCCGGGCATGGTGGTGCACACCTTAATCCCCACTAATTGGGAGGCTGAGGCAGAAGAATCATAGGAACCCAGGAGGTGGAGGTTGTAATGAGTGGGGATTGCACCACTGTATTTCAGCCTGGGCGACAAAGTAAGACTCTGTCTCAAAAAAAAAAAAAAAAAAAAAGATGGCTGGCGTTTTATCATTCAGACAGAAAGATGAGCATAGGTGGGTGGGGAAAGCTAAATTTGAAGTAGGATGTATGGAGAGGAAAAAGTGATGACAGAACTGGGTAACTAGCTGACTGGGGGAATGAGGGGAAGGAAGGAGGCTGTGCTGTCTCCAAGCTGATCTCAAGGTGGTGCTGGCAAGCTCGCAGAAGTCCAGGGAAGTCAGGCTGGAGCTGCTGTGTATAGCCTGCCAAATGTAAAGTATTTATATTGTATAGAATATACTTAAAGAGTGTTCAAAAAAGTCTCCTGGGAGTGGGAAGGGAGCTGGTGAATACTCCCTAGGATACTCCCTATTTCACAAACTTTTCTCTTTTTTTTTTTTTTTTTTGAGACAGTTTCACTCTGTCACCCAGTCTGGCGTGTAGTGGTGCAATCTCGGCTCAGTGCAACCTCCTGTGTTCAAGTGATTGTCATGCCTCAGACTCCCTAAGTAGCTGGGTTACATGTACCACCATACCCAGCTAATTTTTGTATTTTTAGTAGAGACAGGATTTCACCATGTTGGCCAGGCTGATCTCAAACTCCAGGCCTCAAGTGATCTGCCCATCTCGGCCTCCCAGAGTGCTGGGATTACAGGCCTGAGCCACTATGCCTGGCAGAAACTGTTTTCTTAATGTTCCAGTGGGCAGCCAAGTCTCTTCCCCAGGCCTCTGAGCCCTTGATGACATGTCCTGCTCTTCTGTTTTCCTTGAGATTGCTCACAGGAGCTCCCTCCCTCTTTCTTCCATCGTGTATCTCTGAAGTCTCTTCCAATTTTGCTATCCCTCTTCTGTGCCACCACCATCCTGTTACCTTCCCCAGCTGCTCCCAGGAAATGTCCCTGGGTTAAATGTCCCTGGGTTGCACTGAAACGGCCCCTTCAGGCAAACCAAAGGCAATGCTGTGTGGGCTACAATGAAATACCCAGCTGATCCCTCAGGTGGGGCTTGTGATTGAGGTGACTGAGGCAGCCTTTCTCAGCCTGGAGGAAGAAAGCCCTTCCCAGGGCTTGTGCCTTCCTGACACCCAGCCCTACCCGCTCTTTCACCTTGGGCTGGTGAGGGGGATGCCTGGGGTCTTTAGAACCTCTCGGTTGTCCCTGATAGACGAGAGGCTGAGAGCCAGGAAGGGAGAAGACTGTGGATTTTAGAAGGCAAGCCCTACCTCCCCTTCCCAGGGTCAGGTGTCATGTTTCTGAGGCTGCAGCCCCCCTTTCCTCCAAGTTCTTTCCATCCCTGCCCCCATCATGCATTTGACAGCTGAGTGCCCACTGTGGGCCAGACATCGCACTGGGCTTGGAGGTGGGGATCATCACTGCCTGCCACCGCTTTCTGCTTCTGCGGGCCTGCTCTGATGTGATGCGGCCCTTCCCCAGTCTATCTCTCAGTAAACATTGGCCTGGGGGAATGGGTGACGGCTCCAGTGATGGTCATAAGCTGAAGCCCCCAACAGACTTATCACTGCTGAATAAGGGCAGGTAGTGATAGCAGTAGGAGTTGCATCTTGGGGGAACCTAAGTCCCAGTTCTCCCATTAGCTTTGCCTGGAGGATAGGCTTGCCTTCCACTCTCTTTCCACACTCTCCATCTGCTTCGTGAGTCCTCCTGCCCTCTCCCCTCATCCCTTCCCAAAAGCTGACCAGTCCCATAATTCCTTCCAGGAAAAAAAAATTACATTTTATTCCTGGCAGCCTCCTCTTCGAGTGGGTGGCTTTTGGAGTGGAGATGTTGCTGGATGCTGAGAAGATGTGGTCGCTCATCTGCTTTTTGGGGATGGCCACTGAGGTCTTGTGTTCAATCTCTGGATCACCACTGCTGTATGTAGTCGGTAGACTGAGAAGACAGAGAGATAGGAAACAATGCAAGTCAGCGGCTTCTGGTTTCAGAATATTGTGTGAAACCCCTTGAGGCCAGAGGAATCAAAGTGAAATGTAGCAGCCAGTCCTCATCCTAGAAGTGCTAGCCTCAAGTTCTTTCATCCTTTGCACCTCTGTCAGACACACCTTTCCAACGCTTGCACAATTACATATTCTTGTTAAGAGTTGCCATCCAGGCTGGGCATGGTGATGCACACCTATAATCCCAGCACTTTGGGAGGCTGAGACTGGTATATCACTTGAGATCAGTCTGGCCAACATGACGAAACCTCATCTCTACTAAAAATACAAAAATTAGCCGGGCATGGTGGTACATGTCTGTAATCCCAGCTACTCAGGAGGCTGAGGCAGGAGAATTGTTTGAACCCAGGAGGTGGAGGTTGCAGGTGGAGGTTGCAGCTGAGATTGTGACACTGCACTCCAGCCTGGGTTGCCATCCTGAGTTTGATGGCCTACAATGAGCTGGACTCCAAGCTAAGTGCTTTTAATGCTCTTCCCTTGATTAATATTTTTATTTATTTGTTATTTATTTATTCTTGCTCTTTTGCCTAGGCTGGAGTGCAGTGGTGTGATCCTGGCTCACTGCATCCCCCGCCTCCAGGGTTCAAGTGATTCTCTTGCATCAGCCTCCTGAGTAGCTGGGACTACAGGTGCGTGCCACCACACCCAGTGAATTTTTTTTTTATTTTTAGTAGTGACGGGGTTTCACCATGTTGGCCAGGATGGTCTCAGTCTCTTGACCTCGTGATCCGCCTGCCTTGACCTCCTAAAGTGCTGGAATTATAGGCATGAGCCACTGCACCCGGCCACCCAACTGTTTTTTTAAATTTTTTGTTGTTGAGACAGAGTCTCACTCTGCTGCCCAGGCTGGTCTCAAACTCCTAGGCTCAAGTGATCCTCTCACCTTCATCTCGCAAAGTGCTCGGATTACATGCATGAGCCACCACACACCTGACTTTCTTGTTTTTTCTTTTTTTTTTTTGAGGTGGGATCTCACTATGTCGCACAGTCTGAACTTGAACTCCTGGGCGCAAGCAGTACTCCTGCCTTAGCTTGCCAAGAAGCCAGGACTACTGCACCCAGCTTCCTACCCAAACATTTTTAATGGGGCAAAGAATAGAGAAATAATAGAGGAATAGACCATCCAGAAATAATTTGAAATAATTCTAGTCTCTTCCCCTTACTCCTGGCTAAGGAGGTTTCTCTGGACTGCACATACACACACATTCTCAGTCACACACACACACACATACATACATACATACATACATACATACATACATATTCTCATCCACCCAGAGTCTATCTTTCGGAGTCTGCGTCTCTCTCTCACCTTGAGTTGTGAATATTGAGTGTTTTTGGTGGGGCTAGATTGGCATGGGTTCGTGAGACCTGATGGTGAAACAAAGTACAGGTTACTCATCCAGCAATCTTCCAAGGATGGAACACTATAGGGCCGGATTCCTTATGTGTCTGGTGACCCAGGTGATGGTGGGGGTGATGGTGAGGACAAGCTCCTACCTGGGGCAATGCACAGACTGAGCTCTTCCTGAAGATTCTCAACTAGGAAGCTGTGCTGTGCTTCCCTGTTCCAGACTTCACAGGGCTCAATATATCTGTTAATAAGCCTATAACTCATGTCTCACCCTCTGATCACCCACCTCCTCTGTCACTCTTACCCTGGAAGAGGGGCCGACAGCTTCTCAGTCACTCTCTGCAGAAGCTGGAAGGAGCCATAGGTTGGCATTAACCCACCCAAAGGGAGTTGACCAGCAAGGCATTAAAGGCTGAGGGTACTTGGGAGAGTCAGAGAGGGTAGGGTGGTAGATATGGATTCTGGATTACAGGGGTGGGATGGAAGCAAAGGGCTCCTCTCCTCACCACCTCCCACTCCCAGGCTCCAGCCCACAGTCTGTGAGGATTTTCTGCCCCCTTTGGAATCTGTTGTGCATACAAAGAGATTGCCCTCCAGCTTAATGGGTCCCCACTGAAGTAGGCTGGTGACCTGGCCTTTGGGAATCATTCTGGAGACTGCATTTGGGGGTGGGCTGAGTACGAGGGGCTTGAGCATCTGGTTGTGTTGGCTGAGGTGGTGGCTGTGGTTGTGGTTGCTGTGGCCATGGCTGCGCCTGAGCCTGTGCCTGTGCCGGTGATGACAGCTGTGGTGGTGGCTGCGGTGGTGGCTGCACTGATAGCTGCGAATGTGGTGGCTTCCATGAGGTCCACAATTTCACCTCTGGTGGTCGCGTCACATTTAACTTCTTAGGTGGCTCGATTTTTTTCTCTGATTGTTTTTCTTCCTCCTGGTGTTTCTTCAGTTCCTGGCAAGAAGCCCCCAGGCAAGTGGAGTCCTCCTCTCCCCACCCAATCACCCATCTGCCAGAGAAACTTTCTGGAACAAGGCAAGTGAATAGAGAGGTATAGATGGTGGTGATCTCTGTTCCCTAGAGCTGGAGGCTGAAATTGGGCCTGGCTGTCTCCCTCACCTACTGCAACACCCAATAACTATTTCTGGGCAACAACACCCATGGCACAGCCCCAGCCAGGAAATAGCACTGTCTCTGAGCACCTGCTTCCTCCCTTGAGAGCTCAGCACTGAAAGCAGTGTTTAGTGCCAGAGGATAAAGAATAATTCCCTGAAAATGCCTGGTTTTTTGTTTTGTTTTTTAGAGACAGGTTCCCACTCTGTGACCCAGGCTGCAGTGCAGTGGCACGATTATGGCTCACTGTAATCTGGAACTACTGGGCTCAAGTGATTCTCCTGCCTCAGCTTTGCACATAGCAAGGACTACAGGTGCACACCACCATGCCTGGTTATTATTATTTTTTTTTTAAATAGAGACAGGGTCTCATGTTTCCCAGGCTGGAGTGCAGTAAGTAGTGCAATCTTGGCTCACTGCTGCCTCGACCTCCCAGGCCCAAGTTATCCTTCCACCTCACCCTCCTGAGTAGCTTGGACCACATGCATGCACCACCATGCATAGCTAATTTTTAAATTATTTGTAGAGACAGTGTCTCCCTATGTTGCCTAGGTTGGTTTCAAACTCCTAGCCTCAAGCAATCCTCCAACCTCAGCCTCCCAAAGTGTTTTTTTAATAACCCAAGGGTGCTTCTAAACTTTATAAGTGCTTTGGAATAGCAGTGTCAAATAAAAATATAATGCATGACACATGTATAATTTTAAATTTTCTAATATCCACATAAAAGAAGAAATAGGGGCCAGGTGAGGTGGCTCATGCCTATAATCCCAGCACTTTGGAAGGCTGAGGCAGGCAGATCACAAGGTCAAGAGATGGAGACCATTCTGGCCAACATGGTGAAAACCCGTCTCTACTAAAAATACAAAAATTAGCCAGAGCAATCAGGCAAGAAAAAGAAATAAAGGGTATTCAGTTAGGAAAGGAGGAAGTCAAATTGTCTCTATTTGCAGACAACATGATTGTATATTTAGAGGACCCCATCGTCTCAGCCCAAAATCTTCTGAAACTGATAAGCAACTTCAGCAAAGTCTCAGGATACAAAATCAATGTGCAAAAATCACAAGCATTCCTATACACCAATAACAGACTTAAAGAGAGCCAAATCAAGAACGAACTGCCATTCACAATTGCTACAAAGAGAATAAAATATCTAGGAATACAACTAACAAAGAATGTAAAGGACCTCTTCAAGGAGAGCTACAAACCACTGCTCAACGAAATAAAAGAGGACACAAACAGATGGAGAAACATTCCATGCTCATGGTTAAGAAGAATCAATATCATGAAAATGGCCATACTGCCCAAAGTAATTTATAGATTCAACGCTATTCCCATAAAGCTACAAATGACCTTCTTCACAGAACTGGAAAAAACCACCTTAAACTTCACATGGAACCAAAAGAGAGCCCGCATAGCCAAGTCAATTCTATCAAAAAGAACGAAGCCAGAGGCATCACACTACCTGACTTCAAACTATACTACAAAGCTACAGTAATCAAAACAGCATGGTACTGGTACCAAAACAGAGATATAGACCAATGGAACAGAACAGAGGCCTTGGAGGCAACGCCACACATCTACAACCATCTGATCTTTGACAACCCTCACAAAAACAAGCAATGGGGAAAGGATTACCTGTTTAATAAATGGTGTTGGGAAAACTGGCTAGCCATGTGCAGAAAGCAGAAACTGGACCCCTTCCAGACACCTTACACTAAAATTAACTCCAGTTGGATTTAAGACTTAAACATAAGACCTAACACCATAAAAACCCTAGAGGAAAACCTCGGCAAAAGCATTCAGGATATAGGCATAGGCAAGGACTTCATGACTAAAACACCGAAAGCATTGGCAACAAAGGCCAAAATAGACAAATGGGGCCTAATTAAACTCCAGAGCTTCTGCACAGCAAAAGAAACAATCATTAGAGTGACTCGACAACCATCAGAATGGGAAAAAATTTTTGCAATCTACCTATCTGACAAAGGGCTAATATCCGGAATCTACAAAGAACTAAAACAGATTTACAAGAAAAAAACAAGCCCATTCAAAAGTGGGTGAAGGATATGAACAGATGCTCTACAAAAGAAGACATTTATGCCGGGCGCGGTGGCTCAAGCTTGTAATCCCAGCACTTTGGGAGGCCGAGGCGGGTGGATCACAAGGTCAAGAGATCGAGACCATCCTGGTCAACATGGTGAAACCCCGTCTCTACTAAAACTATAAAAAATTA